GTTCTGCAGGACCAGCTCCTAGGACCAGCCCTACTCAGTAATAACATCTGGTTCTGCAGGACCAGCTCCTCCACGAGCTCCAACAGCTTGTAGACAGGGTAGATGCTGGAGTAGATTGACTCAAAACACTGAATCTGGGCCCAGATGGCGGCCTTCAGCCTGCATGGGTGTCTTCCTGGCAGCGCTGGATTCTTAAGATAGTCTTGTGTCATAGGCATATTCAGTCATCTGCCACATTTTATCTTTTTTATGCAATAGTCTTCTTTGAAAGTTAATAGTACTTACTAAAGAGTAAATAAAAAATTTAAGAAGAGTAAATGAAACTCAAGACCCCATGTTTAACAAACAAAACAAAAAAAAGAATTAAGAATAGATGAGCTGGTATGGTGGTGCACACTCTTATTCCCAGTTCTTTGGAGGCAGAGGCAAGAGTAGCCTCCTGTGAATTTGAGTCCAGTTGGTTTACATAGCCAGCCCCAGGACAGCTGGGATTATGGGGACCTGTCTCTCAAAAAAAAAAAAAAAAAAAAAAAAGAGTAGATGAGATGAGATATGATCAACTTATTTGCAGTTATGTTCAATGAAGTTGCTTCTGAGAATACTAATTATGTAAGTACTGAGCCATCAGCCCTAAGGAGATAAAAATTAGATATTAGCACCAGATTTAGGATTACACCTCTGTAATCCCAGCTTTGGGAGGTGAAAGCAGAAAGATCAGGAGTTCAAGGCAAGTTTAAGGCCAATGTGGACTATTTGAGACCTTGTATTTAAAAGATTAAACCATCAAGCAATGGTGGCACATGTCATTAAGCCCAGCACTTCGGAGGCAGAGGCAGACAGATCTGAGTTTGAAAACAGCCTGGTCTACAGAATGAGTTCCAGGACAGCTGGGGTGCACAGAGAAACCCTGTCTTGAAAAACCAAAAAAAAAGAAAGAAAAAGAAAAACCAAAACAAACAAACAGAAATCAAACCAAGGGGCTGTAACTCCTGTTCCAGGGGATCTGACACCCTCTTCTGGTCTCGGAGGGCACTGCATACATATGGTACACAGACATATATGCAGACAAAACACACATACATATAAAATAAAAGTTATAAAAACAAAATCAAACAACACAAAACTAGATTCCTTTAAGCCTCTGGTCACATTTTCGTCACTTGATCAGTATAACCTTGTTTTACATGTGTTACTATTCAAAGTCATACTGTTTAATACATACCAAGGCATGTGTATGTACACATATACATCACAACTAATAGCAATGTAATTCATGCCTGATTGAAGGTTATCTAGAGTTGAGGATACAGTTCTGTGGTAGAATATTTACCTAGCATGTGGGAGGTCATTGAGAAAGAATAATTCCAGCCTTTGGAAGGCAGAGGCAAGAAGACTTCAAGGCTTGAGCTACATAGAAAGACCCTGTCTCAAAATAAATAAATAAAATAAAATAAAATAAAAGAAGAGAAAAAAGAAAAACAGCTGGGGCTGGTGAGATGGCTCAGTGGTTAAGAGCAGTGGCTGTTCTTCCAGAAGACCTGGGTTCAGTTCCCAGCACCCACATGGCAGTTCACAACTGTCTGTAACTCCAGTTCCAGGTTATCTGACATATTCTTACACATACATGCAAGCAACACACCAATGCACACAAAATAAGAATAAATAAATCATTTTTTAAAAAAAAAGAAAAACAGCAGCAATAAAAATAGAAGAAAATTTCCAACACATGTATTTCGTCCACTAAGCTCATCTCAACCTTTTTGTGATTAGAAACAGTATTAGAATTATAGACAAAGTCGGGCAGTGGTGGCACACGCTTTAATCCCAGCACTCAGGAGGCAGAGGCAGGTGGATCTCTGTGAGTTCGAGGACAGCCTGGTCTAGAGAGTGAGATACAGGACAGCCAGGGCTACACACAGAGAAACCCTGTCTCGAAAAGCCAAAAAAAAAAAAAAAAAAAAAAAAAAGGTAGACAGATGAGTTGGTGGTTACTTAAAAGCACTGGCTGTTCTCGCAGAGAACCCAGGTTCAACTTTCAGTGCTATGAGGCAGCTCACAGCCGTTTGTAACTCCAGTCCCGGAGAGCCAATTCGAGGGCAGCAGGCACACAAGTGGTCCACAGACATACATGCAGGCGAGACACCCATACCCATAAATAAAAATAAAAAATTTAAATTAAAAAGAAAGAAACAGTGTTAGAAATACTACATAGCTCTTTATCACTATGCTTGGAGTAATTATATTTTATTTATTTTGGTTTTTACAGACAAGGTTTCTCTGTAGCTCTAGCTTTCCTGAAACTCACTCTGTAGACCAGACTGACCTTAAACTCAGAGATCTGCTTGGAGTCATTTTAAACAATGACAGTACCAATATAATAATAATAAAAAAAGCAAGAAACCGCTAAATATTACTTAAAAATAATTTTTTTTGAGGCAGGGTCTCATGTAGCCTAGTCTGGCATTGAACTCATTGTGTAGTTGAAAATGAGTCTGAACTCCTGATCTCCTGCCTCAGCCTCCCAAGTGGTAGGATTACTGGTGTACACCATGAATGCTTGGCTCTGAGGGATACTACAGTATGAAAATAAACAAGAAGAATATCCCCTTGTTTGACCTCAGCTGGGAAGGTGACTTGATTTTTTTTTTTTGCCACATTTTGTCTGCCTGTGAATGATTAGAGATATTGAAAATATTGATTTGCAAGTCATAAATAAATTGTAGTAAATAAGGGAATAAAGAAGGCTGTCTGGGCACTGCATAATTAAGAAATGATAACTTTACTGAACTTTACAATGAAGCTGGGGCTCAAGTTTTCTATATGTCCCTTTCCCCTAGCTAAAATGATAATAGCTTGTTAAAAATTGCAGAACAATGCCGGGCGGTGGTGGCGCACGCCTTTAGTCCCAGCACTCGGGAGGCAGAGGCAGGCGGATCTCTGTGAGTTCGAGGCCAGCCTGGTCTCCAAAGCGAGTTCCAGGAAAGG